CACAATGTTAAAATGTTCATGATATCTTTTAATTTCTAACAAACAGATAAAGGATATTTTTCATTAAATTGATGTATTCAAAACATAATCTTTACACCACACATTTTTTGAACAATTTGTTGATATATAATGAAAACTATTTTGATCACATCTCGAGTTTTACGTTTGCAATGCAGGATAATAGGCGTGAATGTGGCATAACTATTCTATACAGGTGACAGAAAACCTTTACAATTTTGAGATTTGTTCGGAGAATGAAAGAAGTTTAAATGGCCTTTCTTTATAGCGACTATCTACTCGCACAGCTTCAACATTTAGTAAAGGAACGAAAACTGAAAAGTCTATTTGATCTCAGCTGAGTTTTATAAATCCTATATGGTGCACTGCTGTTTCTCAGTATTTTTTTTCTGTCACTTGTGACAGTAATATATCGCTTTCCAAAATCGCAGAGCTGTAAAACAAGATGAAAATTTCTACCATTAAGAAAATAAAGAACCACGGTGTTTCCATAGGCACGTTTTTAATATAATAGTTACAGAGATGCTTTCTACAAAGTCACCTTTGATTATCATTCATAGAAGGCCTCTGTTTGTGTTAACACTTCGATGGTCGCGTTCTACTTTGGATGTACTTTCCCTCGGAAGTTTTGACGTAATTCTGGTGCCTTGAAACAGATCAAATGTGCTAAATGCCTTGCAAGATCTTGATTTATTCGGTAAATATAAAGTGGTGAAAAATCAGTTTCTCAGAATTTTTATTATTATATTATTATTTATTATTTATTTATTACTATTATTATTATTATTTAATTTTTATTATTATTTTTTTTAATTTGTTCTTTAAGAACAACTTAAAAGTAATAATAATAAAAAAAAGGAATTGATAGCGTCCATGCAAGCTTCTTGTCAGCCAATCATTTTCTAAATGCTTGAGGGAAGTCATTTTTGAGCAGAGGTTCGATATCCTTCAGGCTTAACAGTTTCGGAGAGGTAATCATCAATCTCTCTGACGTGTGAGTGTGGGGGCTCTAAAGAATATAGTCGCGTGTTTATCATTCGCTATTCCCTCTCGTGGTTGGTGAAATTTCATTTATCATCAGAACGACAACCATGTCATCACTCGCAACTCAAGAAAACAAAGGATTGAGCGTGGGCAGTGTGTCCAGATATGGAAGCACACCACAACCTTAAACATCATTAAGAAAATCGAGAAAATCAAATGCATATCAAGACCTTATAGAACAAACAAGTTATAAACAGAAGAGGAACTGCGATAAAAGAGTAGCAAGTTTCCAGACGAAACTTTTTTAACTGCCTTCCTAAAATTTAAGTTTTAAAATACGGTCAGCTTGGAAAAAAGGGTAGGAAAGATGTGTTGAATCTCCCTGTAATGTGACTGTTTCTTTTTTTGTTAGTGAAGAACATCAAAACAACCTTTAGCTATCGAGCTAAGAGTCTGCTAAAAAAATATGTGATTTCTCGCGGTGTAATTTAAACTAAAAATATAAGTTACAAAAACAAAAAAAAACTTGAGAGGTCCGGGGTGAAATTGTATTATTATTTCATTTTCCCACGCGTTTAAGATTTTTCATTGATGTAAATGTTTTCGTTATGTCTTGAGAGCACGAACTCATTGAGACTTTGAAATAAAGGAAATTAAGGGCAGCGACCGTCTGCTTACTTAAAACAAGGGAGTTACACGAAGGAGCGAAATCTAAGAAACAAAACATTTATCTCTAGATTCAGAAAAAGGGCTCAGAGATTTGACTTCTTCGTTGAAATAATATGAATCACCACGAACTTAAGGGATGACCTTTATAAATTTGTACTTTGAGGTTGATGAGTTGTATTTGTCTTTCACATTGTTTCGATAAGTTCATATATTCATATATTTGATACGGTTTACACGTGTTTTTCGTAAACGATATAACTCCAAGCGCACTGGTGTCAGTTACCTTGACGTTATAAATTTCTCTTCATAGAATGCAGTTGATATTGACCTTGTTTTATTTGCCTCTGGTGGCTGGATGCAGAACTGCTAAGTTTTTCAAGGAAGAAGGTTTTGCTCTACAAAATCACGTCATTAAGACTGTCACTGATTCTAAACCAATATCATGTGGATGGAAATGCGTAGACATTCCTCTGTGTTTCTCTCTGAACGTCAGATGGTTACCAAATGGGTGGGTCACGTGTGAGCTGAACAATTCTACCAAAACTGCTGACCCACAACATTTTTTATCAAGTCCTGGAGGTCAATATCATCAGATAGCGGTAATGCTTTAACTATCCTTGGTATTTAAGATTATATGTTAAGAACCTATAATTGAAAAACAAAAATGATAATTGATTTATTGTCACGGTGATTCTACCGCTCAAGTGTTACGGGCACACTTTTGAGGCTTGTAAATCCTCGTGGCTCGGTCTTGTCAGCTGTATTAAGAGCAATTGATGGAATTCAATAGTAAAGACTACGACCTTCTGAGTGAGAGAGAGAGAGAGTGAGTGAGTGAGTGAGTGAGTGAGTGAGTGAGTGAGTGGCTGTTCTGATGTTTGAGAATACTAGAGACAAATGTTCTTAATTTAGCACGTTTTACTCGAGGAAGAGATTCATTATGGAGCAGTATATAAGCAATACTCAAAATCTCTAGTTCTGGAAATGCACATCCTTAACACTGTAATAGACAAGGCTAGCCCCTCTAAAAGACACGTTTATATTACCTTCAGGAAGTGGAACATTGTACAGTGGACCAATGCAGCTACAAAGACGGTAAGACTGCTCAATGAATTTCCCTTATTATGCAATGAGCCAGTTTTTTACAGTTATTTTTAATTATGTTGCCTTTCCCCTTGCTTAGTACCTTCTGCGTCTCTGGGGTTATGTAATGAAGCATTTCTCAGTTTTTTATTGAAATCATCACACTGTAGATCTACTGCTGTGTTTTATATTTTACTTTAGCTGATACATGGTCGCTAACGTGACGGGTTTAAACCAATCCCGAGCAAGCAAACATATTTAATGGATTATAACGCTGTTTGTGTATTGTCACAGCTCTTCCAGATGACTGGTACAGACTGGGTTCCAAGCTCCTCAAATTGTTTCACTACAGAAAGACCTGGGGACAAGCACGACAGTTTTGTCATTCAATTGGTGGAGAACTTTTGTCAATAAAGCAGGAAAACGAAAATGAATTTGTTTCCCAGCTACTCAAACAGATCAAGCCGAATACAGAAGGCACGTTCATAAAGCCGATATTTAACTGAAATATCTAGTGATAAAAACGAGCGATAAAAAATATGAATGACGTTTCGACCGCTCCACGGTCATTTTCAAGTTAGAGTTCATGAGTAAATTTCCGCATATATACGATTTCTGAAACAAAGGAATGAAAGTAAAAGCTAAGTTTTTACATGTAAACAATAGAGCTAATAAGTAATAACAAAGTGCAAAAATGAAGTGTAAATAAGCGGGGAAAGGGTTAAAAATTAATTGATATGAAGTGTTAAGCAAACACCTTCGCGCGAATAGAATCGCTCTGTTTGTTCAGTTTTGGCTTAAGGTCTCGAATAAAAAACATTTAGAAAATCAAACAATCGAACTTGTTTGAGCATTTCCTCAGGACCCTAAAGTTCTTTGCGATCTCACATGGTTCGATTCCATGTTCTCTTTCATGGTTGCCGATTACCGATATGCAGAAATTTACTCATGAACTCTAGATATCTTATTAACCAAGCGCGAGGGCCGTACTGGGAGAATATCGGCCCGAGGTCTTGACAGTACGGACCGAGCGCAGCGAGGTCCGTACAAAAAAGACGGAGGGCCGATATTCTTCCAGTACGGTCCCGAGCAAGCTTGGTTAATAAGAGATTTATTATACGACTGAAGTTCAAAGGGACACAAGTGCGGTATCATTCGGGACCATTCGGCACAGTGCCCGGTCCAATACTTAGAGAATATTGGACCGGCAATAGAGCATTTTGATTGGTTGATTTTAGTAATTGGCCCTCTGACTGCCCGAGTCTTGTAATAAAACTTGAAAATGACCGTGGAGCGGTCCAAACGTTGTTCATATTTTTTATCGCTCGTTTTTAACTAGAATATACAAAATTTCACTCTCATTACACTCCACTCTCTTACCTCTAATCTATCAAAGGACTTATAGTTAGATCGGTTATCAGTAACTGTGTTTTTTTGTTTCGTCAAATTTATTCCCGTTTCTCTTTATATGTGTTTTAGGACTAAACGTCAAAGTTAAGAAACTTCTGCTAGTTAACACTTTTATGATATCAAAGGCATTTTCAAACAGTAAGTTATTGCAAACTGTGATAATTGAAATTAGATCTGAGGTAAACTATTTTTTCTATATGATAGGTAAAGACTTGATTGGCCACTGGTTTCTAGATGGTACCGACGTTGATGTCAGGTTAGGCTAAGATCATCATCCTTAACAGGCTCCCAATTCTGTGTGTGCAGGGAGCAGACGTTACTTTAGAGAGCAGACGTTACTTTTGAGAGCAAAATTTATTTCACTTCCTCCGTATTACCTGTTTACGGCTCAACAAAACAAACGCACCGCGGGGTGGGGCGGGCTCCTCATTGTCGGCATTTAATAAAAACAATCCGGCACATCTTCAAATGTCCACAAGGCGCAATTAAAGGTTCCCTCTGCCAGACGACTCGATCTGCCTCCCCTTAGATCTGTTCAACTAGGTAGGGAAAAGACTGCGGCTGAACATAAAGCATCCATCACAATTGAGATATTCTGTTTTACTTTTTCAACAGCCTTTTCAACGGAGCGAGACATGAAGAAGAAAGCTCCAGGGCTGTGAAAGCATTGTACCTCGACGGAAAAAATGCCTATGCCACAACTCCAGCCGTTGATTTTTTGCAAACCAGTTTTACTTTGGCCAGTTGGGTCAAATTAGAGGATCCTGTTAGAAGTCCTGCGACTATTTATGGATACTGGAAATGTCCTTATCTTTTTCGTTTTACTGCCTTCTTAAACAACGCACTCCATATTCAGATCCGAAATCATTACGCGCCAAATGATGGGCTCCAGGACCTAATCAATCTTTATGCTGGGTAGGAGTAACTCATGTAATCTTTAAAATGATTATGAATTTAGTTTATACCTTTCCAGTTTCAGTAAAGATCCCTACGCAGAAAAAAGATTCAACAGAGTATTTAAAGCCGGGGAGGCTTTTGTTTTTTTTTTTCATTTTTCTATATATGTCCAAGGCCCTTTAATTAAAACCAATTCGTGCACTATTATTTTATTTCCCTCACCTATGCACTATGGGAAATGTTTAAGTAAAGTTAAGTTATACCATTTTTGACAGATCTCCAAAAATTGACGAATGGTTTCTTGCTGCCGCAGTGTGGGACGAGACTAAGAACAAAGTTCACTTATACCTTGACGATAATAATATAGGGAATTCTGGTGGCCCGAGCAAGTATAGTCCAACCGCTTATAACTACGAATTCTTCGACATTGGGCTGAAGAGAGATAGCAGTGAAACAATGAAAGGATATGTGAGAAATCTCATGATCGTTAATTCTACTCTAAGCACTGAGGAGATATTTAATATGAGAGGTACAACAAAGTTAGCTAACTGAAAGTTCATAACGGCAACTAAGTGCCGAGTCCTTCAGACAAACTTAAGACTCCCGTTGAGAAGTTGTTAAGATGGTTGCCAAACACTCCAGCTTTTAAAACTCATTTCAACAAGCGATATTTGTTTTGTTCTTTGATTTCGGGCAAAGAAAATTTGATTTCCCAACGAGGAATCGAGCCCAAGACCATCGGATTTCGCGCTATGATATACTACATTTCTACTTTTGTCCATACGGACACAAAATGTCTGAAAAAGTCCACGGAAATATTTCACTGATTGTCAGGAATGGTCCATAAGAGAAATGGAAATAGCTTTAAGTAATTTCAAAATTTTGATACTCCAAAACATGAAAGCTAATTCACCTAATTATTAGCATTTAAAATGCAAAATTTGTACAGTGATCAATCGCTTAGAATCATGTTAAAATACCTTTAACCTATGGACTAACATATCAGTTAAGCATAAGTTGCGAATTCGCTTTGGTAATCTAGTTTTCAACCTGGGTTTACTTTTTCAGATCATCCAAATAATGAAGCCTTGCTTGGAGTTTGGATCGGACTAAATGACGTAACCACAGAGGGAGATTTCCTTTGGCCAGATGGGAGTCACGTTACATACGAAAAGTGGCACGCAAACGAGCCAAACAACGCGTACAAATATCAAGACTGCGTCCAAATGCTTATTAGTGACGGGACCTGGGAAGATACAAGCTGTGGAAAGCGTCTTCCTTTTCTTTGTGAAAAGAAACATTGAGCTGTCTGCCATTTCTAACTGGTTTAAGAAAGAAAGCATACCAAAACTGGGCTTTCCTGTTTTTCTGTGAAGCTTACATACCAAATAGTAATTTTGATTTATTAGGCAAACGTCTAAATCCTTTAGTCACAAGTGCACCTACTTGTAAACAACGCAAAATTCTGCCATTTTTACACCTTCTTTTTAGCAATCACTTTATGTGAGGTGAAAAACATAACTGATATATGCTAAACTGATAATCTTTACTTTTCGACTGGAGGGGAAAGTGCAGATATGGGATTAAACTTATCATCAAAGCATCTTGTCAAAATGTGTATGAATCACATTCATATTTTCATCGGTATAGGACCAAAAAATTGAGAATTCTTGAGAGGAATCGACTCGAAGATTATTCCCACTTCTGCCTTTAGAGGGACACCTACCTTTGTAATGAACAACTACGCTGCATGTTTGTGCCAATACTTGTGCAAAAGCGCAATCATAGCTCCCCCCCTCCTCATGTCACACTTCGTCAAAGTACCAATTGGGGAAACGTACCATTGCTTATTGTGGATCGTGGGGTTGGTCATTGCAATGATGGTATTCTTGACAACAAGCTGGTACATCATATACAATTTGAAAGTGATCTTATTATATTAACTTCTCTGTGGTCAAACTTGTCAACTTCACTTAAGACTGTAAATCATAATACAA